AAAAATCAAGTGAATTACCTCTGAACTTACAATAAAAATGTGACACTTGATTTGAGCTATTTTTCAGGGGTAAGACTCAAAGGTGTAGTTCCATGACTTATCCATTTAGATAGATATGTTATGGATTAAATGTGATTATGCAATTTTTACCACCAAGAATTTCCCTATTAAATGAAAAAAATATTTTAAATTTGAGAACTCTGAAGTTGAAAATAATGCTAATAGTAGTATCATGGTCAGTTTGGTACCTAAGAATCCGCAGTAGGATCTTATCATAAACAATAGAATCTTGGTTTTTTGTTTCGTTTTGTTTTGTTTTAAGGTATCAGAGCTGAAATTAGGGCACTCTATCATTGGCACACTCTCACATCTTCTTATTCTGATCCATTGTTATTCCTTTTCCTCAGTCTCACTCAGTGCTGATATTACAGAATTGTGTTACCACACCTGGTTCAGTATGGTCTTTATGAAAAAGCTTCTTAGACCAATAAGTCAGAATAACTATAAATTATGGGAATTTTTCATGACACCTAAAATTTAATTACATAAGTGTCACAAAATTGTAGTGCATTTGATATATTTGAAACAATAGGGGTGGAGCTAAAGATGGCAGATCATTAAGCAGCAAAATACAGAGTTTCCTGAGAAAAACAATTCAGATGGAGGAATAAAACATCCTGGAGACAAGCAGACAGAGGGAGATGGGTTCTCTCTACTGAAGAAGAAACTAAAGGGAAAGAGCTGGTCAAGGAAATGGTCCGGGGCCACCATCTGAGCAGCTAAGATTAGCAGCCACAGTGCTCTCCCTGAAGCCACCTGAATTCGCTGCCCTGACCTGGAGTTGTGGCACTGAAGTCAGGGGTCAGCGAGCCCAGTGGAAAACAGGGCCGATGTGGAGACCTGATGCCGGTAACTCTGCTAGACACCACCCATCAGGCATTCCAAGCTGGCATTCAAACTTCAACCTGGCCTCCTGTTGGTTTCTCTGGAATCTTGGTAGATGCCCTGATGATATTGTAACACTTTGGTTCTGCATTTTTGAAGATCCACTGCAACATGGGTCCAACCAAATCTTGATAACACACACATAGGAATACCTGATTTTGGACTCTTTAGGTTTCCGGACTGGAGAAGATAAAATTACCCTGTCTCATATGTTTGATAGAGTAACAAACAATTGACTATGACACATAAATACGGACTTGCTATACCTTCATACAGTAATTATAAAATGTTAAATTTCTAACCAATAAGTTATCCGTTTTTGTTTTCAAATTTAATTGCTTTCATATTAAAAAAATCACAGCAAATGAGATGCAAAAATTAGCTCCTACCTGTTGAATTACTATTTTCCATAATTTTGAAGAAGTCAGTTTGATGCAAGAGAGGAGTGACCTTATGAAGGTCAATGCTTGGTCACTTAGAAGGAGTGACCTTCCAAGTACAGGAAAAGCTAGGTAGTGACTCACTGGTGGTACAGCACAAAATTCTGCAAAAGATTTTATAGGTTATGAGTTAGTACCAAATAAATGGTGCTGTTTTATTCATCACAAGGATCCAAGTCAGACAACAAAAATTGGACCATTCACTACAGTGAGAGACCCTTTAGTAAAATTGTTCTTTTCTGTCTCCATAAATTCATGGTCTTTTGGCTTGGATGACATAGTTCAGGAGGAATGTTTCTACCAGGATAAACACAAATATCCACTGAACTGCAATCTAAAACCACTACTTATTATTTTGAGCTCTTTCTTTCTCCAAATAATCCCAAAATGTTAGGATATTCTGCTTTTGATAAATTTTTATCTACATACTAAAAGAAACCGGAGTGTTTATCCACAATTGAGATATGAGAGAAAATTCTAGGATGTAAGAGATTCCTTTGGCCATCTTTTTGTGTCATCATGATCTGTTATTATATTCAGAGGAAAACTTTCATAATTCAATCCAGGGAGAACTCTGGCACAGATCCTTTTGTTCTTACACCAAACAACAAACTAGGACTACTTTTATTACCAAAGGTATAATAAACATATAATAATTTAGTAAAAGGACATAAATACTAGTTGACTGGGTTAGAAGTGAAAAACATAATTTTCATAAATATTTTCTTCTTTTTCAGTGTGTCTCAGATACCTTGGTTTTTTTTTTTTTTTTTTTTTCTGTCCTATTATTTACTCCTGAAGAAAGCAGATGGACTTGGTCCACCTGGGATGGCATAATCTGATATCTTAAGGGACTGATAAAAAAAGCCTAATGAAATTTTAATTTACTCTCTATATATACAATGCTGAAAGGGTAAAAACCTGTCACCTGTTTCTCACTGGCACTATTTCCCTGCTCTGCTTCTCACAACTGTGAACTAAGCATGTTGGCCATCATGCCCTCCTGTCATAATGTTATTGTCTCAGTCCCTCGTGCACATATAGTGGGATACTTTCAAACAGGAACTAAATTAAATCAGTTTTCCTTTATGCTTTGTGTTTCAGGTATTATGTTTCAGTGTCAACAGAATTTATTAATGCTAAAAAAAATTCTACCAAAAGTAGGATTGTTGTTGTGACTGTATCAAACCTAGTGGTTCAAGTCTTTGAAGCAGGCTTGTGGAAGACGTCCAGAAATGTTTTCAGATGCATTCTAAAATACTCTAAGTAGAGCCTCATTCATTATTCTTATCAAAAACCAAGGGTCAAAATACAGATAATAAACATAGTATTCAGGGGTTTCAGCAGAGAGCAGAAATTACAATAGAAAATTTTAAGAGCCAAAATTTAGTGACTCCTAAAGGAGCAATATTACAATTTATAGAAAGAAATTTCTACATCCAAAATAAGAGAAAACTTTAAAGTAATTTAAAGAAACAGCCAAAGAAACTAGTAAAGAAAGAACAAACTAAACCAAAATTGTAGAAAGAAAGAAATAATAAGCAGAGAACCAGTAGATGAAAAAGGATATATAGATATGATACAAATATCAAGTAATCACAAAACTGGCTGTATGAAAAGATAAAACTTTAACTTGAATAAGAGAAAAATTCAACTAAATCATATATAAAAAGTTAATACTCAACTAATATCAGAGAAACAGGAAGAATCATTAAAACTACTTTTAAAAACTCAGTGCCAATAAGTTTAAAAATACAGAAATTAATAAATTTTAAAATGCATCGAACCAACCAAAATTATAACCTGAATATAAACAAAAATTGAACAGGCCAATGAGTAATAATAGTACTTAATCTACAATGAGGTTTTTCAAAAATGAAGGCCATGTAATAGTTGCTTTTCTGTTGTTGGGACAAGATACAACAATCACAATTTGAAGAAAGTAAGCTTCTCAGAAAGCTAACCTGTTCAAGTCTGTCTAAATCTGTACAGAATTTTAGTGGGCTCACAGTTTCTTCAACAGTTCAAATTTGGGTGACTGCAAGGCCAGAAAACATGGTGGAAGGGCCAAGGTAGAGGGTCACAATTCATCTTAGGTCAGTCAAGAAGGAGAGAGAGAGAAGAGAGGAGCCACAGACAACAAAAATAATCCCTTACATGCTCTGCCCTCAGTGACCCACCCCTTTGACTTGGTCCCACCTTTCAGTGTGAGAACTGAAGGACATTTTAGATCTAAATCTTAAAAGTCAAGAACAAGTTGATCTTTCAGATCAACTTTATATCATTCAAAGTAATTGAACTACTACAAAATATTGAAAGGCAGGAATCTCTTCCAAAAACACACTAAGATGCCAAATTTACATGTGTACCAAAAGGAGATCAGAATGTTATGAATAAGTAAAACTGCAAGATAATATCTCTGATGAACACTTACGTAAAAATTCTAAATATAATGCAAGTAAGCTGGCTGAACAGTTAATAATTGTACACTGTTGTCAAGGAGAATTTATTTAAACTATATAAGGGAAGTTCAACAAACACAAATTGGTAAATATACTTCATTATACCAAAGAAGGAAAGATAATCAAATGATAACAATTGTTGCAGAAAAAAATGTTCACTGAAGTTCTCCATTCATTTTTTTGAAAAATCTTAAAAATTTTATGTAAGAAAAAACATACCTCAACACAATAAAGATTAACTGTATAATAATTCAATAGCCTAATGGAACTAAATGGGGAAAAACTGGAAGCCATGACACCAGTGTGTGCAGCAAAATGACTATCACCTTCCCCATAGGTATTTATGAATGGCCTGGAACACCTAGCCAAGGCAATTAGGCAAGATAAAGAGGTAACAATCATCCAAACAAGAAAGGAGGAAATCAATTTATCCTTATTTATAGATGATATAATTTAGTATGTCCAAAAATACAAAGACATCTCCAAAGGGATAACATAATGAACTGAGTAATAATGTAGAATATAAATTAACAGACAAACATAAAAATTGTTTTGCACACCAGTAACAAATTTGTTGAGAAACAAATCAAGAAAATAATTTTATTTACAATGGTCTAAAAAACAAATATGTGGGATTAATTTTAACTTAAAAACTAAAATCTCAGCAGTGAAAAATACAGAACATATGAGAGATTTTCAAGATAATATGAAAGGTGATTAGAAACCTAGATTTACTGGTTGAAAGAATTAAAATGTCATGCAACTCAGATATAATACAATCCCAACCAAAATACAAAAAGTTCTTCACAGAAATAGGAAAAAAAAAAAAACAATCCTCAAACTTTTGGGGCACATAGGAGAGGGAGGATACTCAAGCATAACACAGTAAGACATGTTACCAAGAACCAAAATAAATAGTCTAATAAGATGACAAATTAAGTTATCTGATTGTAGGAATTCAGAAAATTTTAGTCATTTTATTGAGAGCAATTTTATCATTTAATACATTTAAGATCACAAAATAATTGAAAGTATGTTGGAAATACGTTAACATAGTGGAAAAGAGAATGAAAGAACATATTCCAAGTGACTGGAGCACAGTTGCTATACATGTATTGTGTGTATTCAAATGTAACCCATATTTCTTGTACAGCACCTAATAAAAGTTTTAAAACAGAGAAGACCTGGGAGACCAAGATGGTCAAAAAGTAATCAGGAGACAAAGCGCCTCTTGGAGAGTCACCATCTAGACACTGGAATATAGTAAAGTGAGGAAGACAAGAAGAAGGAAAGTGAGTCATCTGGAAACAGGAAGAATCTGAAGCATGAATTTAAGCCAATGGAGATATTGAAGAGAACTTCAATAAGTAAGAAAAAGATAGCTGGTGACATTTCACCCTGAGACGTAACTCACTGCACAAGAGGAGTGGTTCAAGCATGCAGACACATGCTGATATGCTGGTGACCCCAGCGGCCTTCAGAGAGAGATGCAGCAGGGGAGGGGACAGTGGACCTGAAGGACTGCACTGGCTGGCAATGCGTGCGGAGGGCTCAGTCCTCCCACAGAAGAGAGCAATTGGCCCAGAGCCATCTTTGACATGGACCAGCTGAGATCAATTTCGAAACTGCTGGTGTTTCTATCTAGTGGCTTCCAGCTGGGCTAGACCCTCAGAATATGCTTGGACAGCAGCATGTGGAATGAATCTCATTTTAACCAGAAAGTGCAGGTTTAATGAGATTATCTACTGCCTCACCAATAAACTGCTGCTGGCTTGCTGGAAGATTGTCATGGAAACTTGAAAGTGGATTTTTTTCTTTCCTCTTTCTTGTTTGTGTTTTGTTGTGGTGAGATTGTTTCTGTTTTCTGATTTTTGTTTTAATTTTATTGAAATTAAATTAAATTTTATTTTTATTGTTTGATCTTGTTTTTATGAGTAGGGATGTGTTTATGGTTATGGTTCTGTTCTGTTGTTTTTAACTCTTTTTTCTCATTCTTTCCAGTATTCTGCACCAGTTTGCCAAAGTTAGTGTGATCCCCTTTATCCTCCACCCTTACTTGTAATCTCTTCCTTTTTTCCACTTCTCCATTTTTCCTTAATCCATAATAAAAATTAACCATGAGGACAAAATTGACATATTAAGGACTTGTATACGGCATGTAATTTTCTGGGTTGTTCAAATTTTGTTATGTAACCAAAAAATCTATTTTATATTGTTAAAAGTAGCAAATAATGGTTTGCTCAGTTTGTCATTTTCTACACTGTGTGTGATGCTATTGGTACCATTATAGCCCAAAGTGACATAATTGTTATAAACAACTGGTCCTCCTGGTATTCTATGACTTAGACTGAATAAGTATCATAGAAAATACTTTGACAGAGTGCCAAAGAAGCAACAACTTCTCATTGCCAACAAATTCAAGAGGTACAATCTCTCAATAGACTCAAAACTCCAAAACCAGCTATACTGGAAGATACCCCAGAAAAGTAGCCATTTAGTAAATGTCTTCAATACTAGCAATAAAGCACCATACTGTAGATAATTTACAAGCATTATTCCAGAAATTAAACTAAGGAAAGAAAATAAGAAGATACTTAAACAAGATGCAACCACATACATTGAGTTCCCCAAAGACAAAGCCAGGGGCAATGATGTGGGAAAGTCTGAAAGCCCATCAGTGATCTCTCTGAAGTGGTTACAGAAGAGCAATTGAATTAGGCTCTGGAAAAAAATCAAACCAGAAATGGTTTCTCAGGTAACTGCAGAGATGGTGTCCACAATAAAGATGGTGCTTAGTGATTCTAGAATAGATACAGATTAAAAATAGATGAGCCTAAGAAAATTATGGAATTCATGAATGAACAGCATAGGAAAGAAGTGAAATTCATAAAGTAGATTAAAGCATATATTCAGGAAAATAAAAATTCTATTGAAAGTACACACAGCAAATTAAGCCAATGTGAGGGCAGGGTCTAAGATAGAAGACAGGCTTGTTGTTTCATAAATATCAAATAACAACAAAGGAAGCTAGCGGCTACTAGATGAGACAAAAATAATTTAATATTGATTGGAGTCTACGAAAAAAGCAGGAGGTAACACAAATAATTTTTAAGAAACTGCTCACAGACATCTTGGCAGAAAACTTTGTGGATAAAGAAAAAAATTGAACATGCAGATAATTGAGATAGTAGGAACTCCAGTTAATTATGATAGAAAACAATCTAAAGTAAGGCATATTATAGTCAAGAATCCAAAAATTCAACACAAAATAGAATCTAAAAACCTGTTAGGGATTAGAAAAATAGCCTATAAAGGAAAGCATCACAATAACAGCTGACTGCTCAACACAAACCTTCAAGTCAAGGGAAGCTTGGAGTGAAGTACATAAAGTTCTAAAGGAAAACAACCTTCAACCCAGACTGATATGCCCTGAAAAACTGTCTTTCAACACTGATGCGGAAGTAACACACTTCCTTGATAAAGAATATCTGAGGAAATTTATAATCACCAAATCAGCTCTCAAAAATATTTTGAAAGTCATTCTAAAAAGAAATAAAATGTACTACAACTCTATGAACCCAAACTGAATGAACCCAGCAGACAAACAGAGAGTGGGAAAAAGGGGAGCCAACAACAGGAAAATAACATGTTATTATAAGGGATAAGTCAATACATATCAGTTCTATCCATCAATGTTAATGATCTCAATTCACCAATCAAAAGACACAAACTAGCAGAATGGATCAAGATGCAAGATCCAACAATATGATGCATACAAGAAACACATTTAACTAAAACTGTAGATTCATAGATGAAATTCAAAGTATAGAAAACAGTACGCCATGTAACAGGAACCCAGAAAAAAGCAAAGGCACCTATTGAGTTTTCAGACAGACAGAATTTCAAGCCAAGACTGATTAAGAGAGATAAGTTCAATATATCATCATAAAGGCAACAATCCAAGAGGCAGAGATAAAAATCATAAATATATATGCAACAAATATATAACCTGTATACACAATAATATAAAAGAAATAATCTGAAAAATCAAATAAGGCTTAATACAATTGTGTTGGGGTATTTCAGCAAACCACTCTCACAGATCAAGTAGACCAGAAAAAAATCTGAACCAAAGGTTTGAACAAATGGACTTAGTAGATGTCTGCAGAATGTTCGACCTCTTAGCATCAGAATACATATTCTACTCAACTGCACATGGGACATTCTCCAAAATATACCATATACTTGCCCATAGATCAACCTTAAGTAAATGCAAAGGAACCAAACTTATCCCATTCCTTGCATATTATCAGACAATAGTGTAAAGAAATTGGAAATCCATGACAAAAGAAACCATAAGAACTTCACAAACACATGGAAATTAACTGGTACTAATCTGAACAACCAAGGGGTAACAGATAAAATTTAAAAAGGAATTAGACAGTTTTTACAGTTGAATGTTAACAAGAGTACAACATATAAGAGTTTATGGGACAGGATGAAAGCAGTCTTAAGAACGAAATTTATAGCAGTAAATACTCATACCAGGAAAACAGACCAAGTACACAGAAACAATTTAATGGTGAAACTCAAACTTCTAGAAAAAGATCAGACTAAGCCAGAAGCTTGTATAGGGAAGGAAATTATAAACAGCAGAGCAGAAATTATCACATTGGAGATTACAAAATGATACAAATGACCACTGCATCAAAGAGTTGGACACTGTGAATTTAGGCATGAATGAGAACTCCACACTGTCCCCAGTCACCACAGATTTATAAAACCATAAACTTCAAATCACCATAAGTGTTATACAACTAAAATTTTAACAGCTAAAATTGTATGGAGGGGCATATCCATAATCTGAGCATTTGGAAGACTGAGACAAGAGGATCACTGTAACTTCAAAGCCAAACTAAAATACAGAAAGATTCAACTAACAAAGATATTGTTACAAGCCACAAATAATGCCACTGTGAGCAAAAATAGCAGCAAAAATTAATATACCTATATATGAATATATGTGTATTTATACATATGTGTGAACATTGACATATAAATTGGATAATTTGGACATACTGATGTACATATCAATTTTTGCTGATCTACATAATTATACCATAAAAGTATTGAATCCAGAGAATGAGCAACCAAAATGTGCTGTCCCAGCAACCCCCCATGATGGTAAAATACATAAAAAATTAGAGACAAAGTTTAATGAAAGATACTTTATTTTTGAAGAGGGAATGAGTAGATGGAGAAGACAGATAAGTACTTTGATAAGAAACATTCAGAGCGGGGGCTCCAAAAAATGGGGGAATCATCACTCCTTTGTTCCTGGATGCTTGTATTGGGTGGAGACACCACCATACACAGAAATTCCTATACCTGGATAGGCTTCTGGACACCTCTGCATAATGGCACTTTTCATCTTCTTTGTTTCTACTTGATTGTCTCTGACCTTTAGGACTTTATTTTTGGAGTGGACCACTATTTGACAAAGAGATACCTTATTCATCATTAACATACAATTAGTAAGAGGGAGTATGGATGTCTATTGTAGTCTATAATGATGAAATTTATATAGTGACCTAGACTGGATATGAATATAGTGATCCTAGAGTGAATGCATATGTATATGGAAAGTGTGAATATATTTTGTCTTAAACTTACTCACTGCCCCTCCCCCATTTGCTTCACCTATATTCTATTGGAGAGAGGGGCAGCTTACCATTTGTGTACTTGGCTTTCTCTCTGTGTCCTGCCTGTCAGCTCTTTCTCCACTTCCTTGGTGCAAGTCCTAAGGACATTTGGTGTCTTTTTTTAATCCTTTTTTTCTCTCTTACTCTACCTTTTATCTACAAATTACCCAGGGGAATTTGAGATTTTATGGATAAATCAATGCAACTTGAGACCATATTCATAAGGAAAATAAGTCAGACTTTCTGTGTAAGCATCATATTGTCTCACTAGTATGAAATACTGAAAGAGTAAATGCCTGATAGATACTGTGAAAGTGAAATGGGAAGAAACTGCTGAAAAATGAAGAGTGTGGGCTTTCATTGTTTATCATTTTTTTATGCCCCAGTCTTGTAATCTGAGCAACTACTTTAATGATAAATACATATATGTATTAGCCACTGTTAATCTCTGATTATTTTCATTTGAAATACTGTATCATCATTTTTATTCTTTTTTCATTTTTAAAAAGATTAGTTAGAAGACATAATGAAGTACCTATTCTATTTATCTACAGAACTGTGACCCTACAGAACACTGTGACCTAGATCTAGAAATAATGACAATCTAATGTGTTATTAAATTGGGATATGAATGAATCTAAAGTCTGTATATGAAGAAACATGTTAGAGCAAAGTTTAGTAAGGCAGAGGAATCAAAGTATAAGCAGAATGGAGGATATATTAGCTAGAATTCTGTACAAAAAAGTAATTTTTAAGGTGAGGGAATCAGTGGTATCACAAGAAAAAATGTGGAATTTCACTATGGTAGTATAAATGGCCTCAATATTTGGCTTTATGTCTAATATTAGTCGTGAGAGAAAAATGGCAAAAGGAAACCTGTAGCATGATCACACATTATACTTAGAGAATCTGAAGAGCAAGGAAACCCAACATTCAAAGTTTTTTTGTTTTTCCCAGCCCCAAGCTGGATAGTACTTCATTACATCAGAGTTAACAATTTGTACTTTGGTAAAATCAATTTAAAGCCCCTCATGTGAACAATAATGTTTGGATGTTAATCTTTTTAGTTTTGTTTACACTTAGGGAAGATGAAAATTTCCTACGCTGCTCCTGATTCCAATGTTCATCCATTATTTAACTTCATCACTAGTTTTCTGAATTAGCGAGGCTTTTTACATTGCACAGAACAAATCAAGACAGCTTTAAAGAAGGTGAATACAAATCAGGGACAAAAAAAGCTAGCACATCTCTTTTCTTTACTTGAACACCAATTTAAAAACAACTTTTACTCTAAGCCTTGACCTCAATGTTTTAGTAACCATCTTATTCTTGAGTATTCAAAGCTTAGATGATATTTCTCTAACACATACGAGTTGAATAATTCCAAGATATGAAACTCACCATTTCCTCTCTCCAAAAAAGTAGAATGAAAGAACTGTTTATGACCAGCAGTAATACAGTGCTTTTTTTTTTTTTACTCAAAAACAAATTTGCAGCCACAGAAACATAAATGTGATATGAGTCCAAACAACACAGTGTTATTATTTGGATAAATTTGCCATACTCATGTCATTTGGAACAATGTAGTTTATTGATCAATATATAAATAATGCAAGAACACAAACTGTAAAGTGTTTTACTTCTTTTCAGCTTTAAAGTTTCTTGTATGACATAATATATTAAAACTGTTTATGAGTGAATGATGCAAATGTTTTCAGAACATACTAAGACACACACACTTAAGTCATTAATATTATAGAACTATAACCACAAAAATCTGTGAAAAATACTGAAAATGTGCATTTTTATGTTTTATTTTAGATAAAAGAGAGTAGATATTAATATGAGACCTAAGCATTTCTCTTGAACATTTTTCTCAGTGAATCTATGAGTGGTCTATTTCTCAAACTGTAATAAAATGGATTTAATGCAGAATTTCTGATGTTGAAAAACAGACAAAGATCATATCCTGATCATCTACTTGTGAAGATGCTGTGCACATACATGAAGAGAAGGGGGCCATAGTATAAAGACACAGACAAGAGATGAGTTCTGCAGGTGGCGAAGGGTTTCCTTATGCCTTTGAGAGACTTCTTGTTTAAAACAGTGAATAGAATAAGTGTATAAGAAATAAGAACAATCAAAATTCTGAGTACCTGAAATGAATCAAAGAAAATAAAAACCAGTAGATAATTAAGAGCAGGATCTGTACAATAAATCTTAAACAATGGTATAACCTAACAATAAAAGTCATGTATGAGGTGGGAATTACAGAATGTTAATCTGAATAAAAAAACTATTATGAATTAAGGCATTAAGAAGCCACCTACAAATGATAAAACTAATAGATTGATGCATAATCTATTGGTCACAATGAATGGGTAAAGCAAAGGATTGTATGCAATTACATAGTGATCATAAACCACTGCCGCTAGGAGAAAACATTCTGTGGTTGCACTAACTATAAAGGAGAGAGATTGTATGTTTGAATGTCCACTTTATATGCTTTAATTTTGCAATGTGAACAAATATTTCTAAGATGACAATATGTAATCCATTAACTAGTGATATCCTACTGTTTATTTTTTTCTGAAATTCTGTAAACTTGTACCCTTTTTCTGCTTTTTTTTTCTTTTTCTCCTTAAATAAAATTAAAAAAAAAACTTTTCCCTACACAATCCTTTTTGTCATTCCCAGGCGCATTCCCTCGAGAAATGACAGTATTAAAAGGTCTTCAGCTCCTTTGGTAAATGTTCTGTCCTTTTATATGTGGTTCATTTCTATGCTTAGGATGTGCTGAAATATATTTCTGATTCTGATTATAGGCTGGAATGATACTGAAGTAGTCTTGTGAAAATATACATCATACAATTCATCTGTCTCAAGGGAAGTCATTATACAGTCTCCCAGAAATAAGAAACTCATCTCACCCTGAAATATGAATGTGGCACAAATGCTAGTCTTGAGGGTTCAGGCACCTTGCAGAAGGATCAGGAGGGGGATTATAATTATCAGGTTATCTATAGACATTTACCCAGTCTGGGTACAGTGTGGCTAGTGTCCTCAAAAAAGACATGCCTATCTAGAACTTCAGAATGTGTTTTTCCTTATTTGAAATTAGTATTTGTGCAGATAAAATTATGAAACTTGAGATTAAATCATCCTGGATTTATTAGGCTTATTTAAGTCCAATGACTACTGTTCTTATATGAAGAAGAAAGGACACAGAGAAGATATAAAAGTGGAGATTGAAGTTAAAGTGTACCAAGACATATAATATCTGAGTTGAAAGAGGCAAGAGAAGATTGTCCAAGTCTTCAGAGGGAGCATGGTCTAAACAACAACTTGATTACAAACTTCTGGTTTCCAGAATTATGAAGTTAAATTTTTATTGTTTTAAGTCACCCAGTTTCTGGGAATTTGTTATGGCACCCTAAAAAATATACCAGATATTATGGTCATATTCTTCATTAGGGCTCTGACTATAACAATGATGCTTATAAAAGCCTATGTATTTGGACTCTATAAATAGATACTGGACCTAGAGCTAAAGGAAATAATAGGTACTTTAGAGCTATCTCACAGGGCTTTAGGGTGAGATAAATCAGTAATTAACTTCTAGTATGACTTCAACAGAATAAAGAACTTCTAACAATGCCAACAGTCTAATCCTCAGAATATTCAAATATAATCCAAATGGGCTGTAGGTGTAGAGTGTGTGCTTATTATGAAAACAGCTCTAGATTTGATCCTTAGCACCATACATACAAAAATTTCTTTATATGACAATGATATTTCAAATATATTTAAGGATTAGAGGTTGATGTCTTTACATTAGGATTATCCTGGCTTACCCAAGTGGATAAAAACTAATCACCTGAGTCCTTCAGAGTGGAGAATGTTTCCCACACGTTGTCAGACAGGATGCAGTAATGGACAGAAAATCAGAAAGAAGCTACACTGTTGGCTTTCAAGCTGGAGAAAGTGAGCTATAACCCAAGGAAATGTGTGCAGATTCTGAAAAGGCAGGAAATCAGATTCTTTTCTGGAGTACCTAAAGAAATACTAAATTCCCAATACCTTGTGATTATAGTCCAGTGAGACCTGTGTTGAACTTCTGGCCTACAAAATTGTAATGTAAAAAATTACTGTTTTCAGCAATGACATTGTAATCATTTATATCAGTAATAAAAAATGCAAATACCATCAAATGAATCTATTTTTGTCATCATCATTATGCTTATCATTGCCCCTTATAAATTAAATAATCACAAGTACCTGATCACTCATTGTCTTATCTTTCCAGCAGCCCGTATCCCAGTTAACTACCAAGAGAATGTCCAAGTAATTATTATGTGACTGTGTGGCAGAGTTTAATGCCTACCTTATGTGGCACCTTCAATAGATTCTTTGATTTTAGAAAGCAGACAATCCAATGCAAAATCCCATGCTGAGGGTCTACCATCTGGAATAGGAGTCAGCAAATGTTTTATGTAAAGGGGAAGATAGTAAATATTTTAGGCTTTGCAGGCCATATGGTCCCTATCACAAATGCTTTGCTTTGCTTTGATATAAAGAAAGCAGCCCCAGATAATATGTTAATAACAAAACATGGTTGTACTCCAAATAAAACATTTTATAAGAGGCAGCAGGCTGGATTTGGCTCATGGGCTATAGTCTAAACCTAGAACAACTATGATAACTATTATCAACCTGATTCTATATGAAAAAATCTCATGGAAAAATTTAAGTGTGAATGTTTCATTAAAGTGTAATGTCAGGGCATAATAATACAGAAAGGTAACAGGAAAGGGAAAGTGAAATAAAACAAAGAAGTAAAAGAAAGGTGATTCATTATTCCACTAACCACTATTTATGTGGAGAAGCAGAGAGATATTCCAGTCACTTAGCAATTGTTTCATTGATTTGAACTTGTAGCATGTTTCTAACAGTTTGTGTCAAACAAGCAAGGAAGCAAACAAACAAACAAGTAGCCCAGAATAAGGACATCCATCACACAGTCAAAAGGGAGAAGAGAAGGAAAGCAGGAAAAATTTCCTATATCTTCTTAGGGAAGCCAAAGTGAAGGTCCTATTTATGGCACATCTTTTGAATTCTTAATTAATGAAAGGATCCAGAGACTCTAGGCATAGCCAACTTTGGGAAGCACTACTGTATGAATTTAACTCTGCTTGAGATTAACAAAGCTCAGGTGAAGGAACAGTCAAGGTTTAGGAGACAAACAAAGCTCAGAATCTGAGAGATGAAATCATTACTATGCTCAATATAGGTACCATTCGTGAGTACTTTTTTGTTTGACAGACTAATTGCATTTTTTTGGTAATTATATCTTGCGGGTATAAAATGTTCTGTCTTCTGATTTTACAATCTATTTTGCTTGTTGGATAGGAATTTTAGCTGCAATACTTTAATTTTTCTTTCACTTAACCAGCAAACCTCAAGGGAACTTTCTCTTCCAAATTGAATAATCCCAGAAGTACATAGTTATTTAAAATTTAATCTATTAACATATTTCAACAAACTTAACAAGTCAGGTAATAATTATCTAAATGATAAACATAAAATATAGATAATGGAAATCATCAAGATTCGCAGTTTAAAATTCTTAGAATTCTGTAAATAGGTGGAAATTTTTTAATTTCATAAAAGCAATCGGCCAAAGGCCTATAGCAATATCTTACTTATTGTTAAAATCTTAAAAAACTTTCCTCTGAGACTGAAAACAAAGGTAAGGTCATTATATTCAACATTACAGAGTAACAGCCAAGAAAACACTAAAATATGCTATATATATATATGTATAAATATTGGGAAGTCATCAAATTTATCTACATTTGTTGTGCTTTGATACACAACTATGCCAGAAAATCTAAGGACAGCTATTAAAAACAAAACATTCAATAATGTAGGTAAATTTAAAAACTTCACATTACTTCATTCACTGACAGAGTGATTTAAGGTTATATGTTAGTAAGTGGTACAACCTCAACTCACATAGTTTTCTGAGGCCAGTATTCTTTTATTTTGCATTTCTTTAATTGAAATTATATGACTACCACATATTACACTCATTCCTAAAAATACGAACAGCACAAGGAAAACCAGTAATTTTTACTATTTTTCCCAATTCTAATTTCCAGTGTCCTTCCTTGATTTGCGTATATTTTTTCAGGCTTTTTATATTGGGCAAATGAATGTATGAACACAAATATAAATACATTGTTCCAATGGTTCTATGTCTTCCTGCTTCACAACTTTTCCTTCAAAAATATATCTGAAGGAAGTTTCCATTGTATATCAGCATTCATTTGTTCAATTTTCTACTGATAGACATTTAGAACATTTGAAATATCTCACGCTAGTATCTCATAAAAACATTTGAAATTGATTTCCTGCATTGTAATGATTTTTAAAATACATGCTTTAAATATAGATAATTTTAAATTTCTCATATTGGTATATAAACATATATCTAGATGTCTATGCAACAGTGGTCTCTTTCATTACTGAGTATTGCTAGCTTTTTATAAATTTTTAGTATTTTGCAAGTATGATGGGAGAAATTGGTATACTGGTAATTAGTTGGGAGGCTATTTCCTCCTCACTCTCAGACACTGATCTTTAGGGATAAGAAAACCATGTTTTCAACTCTTAAAATACTTTTTCTAGTACTAATGTTCACATATCTAAATATATTTCTGTTGCCTTTTTGTAATTTATTAAGTATCATCTATTGATTTATTATTACCAAAGGTTTGTTGTATTTTCTTAATATTCATTATTTACCTGTTATTTGTAGTAAATATTGTCTTTTATGATCATCTTGTTATGCTATTATACTCCTTACTGGTTGTAGGTTTTATGTCTTGCCTGTGTCCCTACTCTAAAGGAACAAACTATATTCTGTAAGTTTCTTCAAATGATTTCTAAGATGTGATTTCAATGTTTATGTGTTTTACGTATTTTCTAATATGATATTTACTACTGAGAAAGGTTTAAGGTGGAGATCTTGCTATTTTTTTAAGTGGACAGTGAACTTTTCAATACTATTTATAAAATAAGTAAATTACGTCCTAAAATATCTTCTCTAAAATGTGTAAAATTTCTCCTGAACCATTTCAGGAATACGTATTTAGACAACTGGTATTCTTGTACACTTATGAAATAATACTACATAGCATTTCGTCTTAAACAATGTCTTGGCTATTCTTAAACTTTTTCTTTCTCTGATCAATTTCAAAATCAGCTTCTGAATTATTTAATAATAAATCAATTCTGATGGCACCTGATTGGAATTACACCAAATTTTAGATCAGTTTGAGGGAATGCAATGTAGTTCCATCATGTACACTTGCCATTCTGGTTTAATTTTTATTAAGTTATTTCAGTTTTTCTTTTTTCTCTTCTCTTCTCTTTTCTTTCTTACTTTTTTCTTTCTTTTTCTTTTCTTTCTTTCTTTCTTTCTTTCTTTCTTTCTTTCTTTCTTTCTTTTTCTTTCCCTTTTTCTAAGACAGAGTCTCACAACGAACAGTTCAGGCTGGCCTGACACTCGCAACAATTCTTGTGCCTCAATCTCTGAATTGCTAAGATTACAGGTGTACAGCACAATGACCAGATAGCTCAGTTTCTATCCTTTACCAATAAAGAATGAAATGCCTGATAAATAACTTACTGATATTTTCTACAGTCTTTATCAAAAATTAGATACTTGAAGAAACTTATATATGACAGCAAATTTTTATTTCTATCAATACAAACTTTCAGTATATAATCATTACATGTGCATAGCATATTATAGTAGTGATTATTTAGATCGCTTCATGTTACCAATTTTATTTCCTCATCATCAAAGGCCAATTATCAAATAATCAAAAGTAATAAGGATTCTCTGTATTCTGTTAACATTTTATATTTTAGTAACATTTATGATCTCAAGATTGGCTGATTTATGTTACTTAACATTGGTTATTTATCACTATCAAAACTAAACAACAAAGACAAATGTTTATGATATTGACATAAAGCTCAAGCATTAAATATTAGACAATAAACATTGTTCTACATATTAACTGACCGGAGCCGCGGGAGACAGGAGACCAAACTCGAGCAGGATCAGCTCTCAAAGTTTATTGCGTACAGCGAACCGGACCTAACAAGGTCCGCCACCCTCAACGTTGGTTCCTCTTCTGCCCATTGGGGGCAGGAACAACCTCTTATAAGGGGAAGCAGTATCCAATCACAGAGAAGCGCATCTAACAAGCTGATAGGCTAGCGTCACGGGTAACTGGGCAGACATGACAATTTGGCAGGCTTGTTCAGGCCGGGAAGAACCCGGAAGCAGGAAATGGGCGCCATCATAGGCGGCTTCCCACATCTCCCCCTTTTTTATTTATTAAAATAGGATGGTCTGTGGGTCCCTCCAAGGTGTCTATGACCTTGTTGCTGTTAGACACCTAGGAGTGGGCCTACCTTGTAGGCCGAGGCATGAGAGAATGTAGAGGTCTATACCCTGCTGTGCATCACCCTGTTTTGTGCATATCCTTGCGCCAGGACCATGCTCAAGGTGAGTGGTTCATTTTTTCGCAGGGCCAGGCTTTTGTGAACCGAACCTGGATGCATATAGACATTCATTCCTGCCTTTCCCCCAACCTTTGGGGCGGATGGCACTGCAGTACCCTTGGTCTCACATCTCAATGCCAATAATTTGACTCCGGGAGGGACCCCTGGCCTTACAGGCCATGTATATCTGAGTGGAGCCTGTCTTAGGTTGACCGGGAGGGCTTTTCCCGTCTTACCCATCATTGGCTTGCCCACTCAGCTCTTATAGCTGATGTTCTGCAATGTGAAGGAGATATGCGGCGGCCTGCTGGCCTGATGGGCCACCTGCTGCCATTTGCATGGCTGCCATAGCTGTGACCTTGACCTGTTGCTGGGTTTGCATCGGAGTTAAGCGGGTGGGTCATATTCTGAGTGGAATTATTGGCTGCGGAGGATGTATTTTTCAGTGTCTGATTAAGTATCATAAAGGGGCAGAGGTCTAAGCAAGCACCCAGCGCATTGCAAAGTTGATGCTGCGCGAAGAGGGAGGAAGTATGTTTAAGGGGATCAGGTTGAGGTTCATTACAATATCCTGTGGCCCCCCAAGCGGCCCCCACTGAACAATTCCGAAGGGTGATCAATAGGAACCCACAGAA